TTGCCTCAGATCACACCATAGAGCATCTAGAAACCAAAAAAAAAAATCCACCATTGGGGCCATGCAAGGCCTTGTATGCCTGTTATTATTGGTACGGCCATAGCCGTACCTGCCGTACCGCTTCCTACGTCCTTGACTAACTGGAGGTATTCAGGGTATTATACTCTGTACGCAATTATATACACCCACTGCCGGACTGTTCAACTTGGCTGACGCAATCATCAAAGCGCCGTCAGAACCGTTCCACACGGCATTCACGGTGGTTGATTTTTTTTGAAAACAAAATAGCAGCGCAGCCCTCCCACGCACCCCCCAAGCAAAGCCCAGTCCTTTATTGCTGAGCCTGACTGACCCGAAAGTGGGCGAGATTTTCAACGAAACAAACTTGTAATGGGACATTGGGACTGAAGGACAGTTCGATTGACTTCCACGACTAGTGCTTCACTTAAAGGGAATATACAACATTGAAAACAAAACATCAAAACAAAAAAAAAACCAACTACCGAATTGTTACGAAATACCTTACTGGACTCTTACTGTTAGCGAGTGACAGTCTAAAGCATCCTGTAAAATCATGGCACCTGGTGTGCTGGCATATTCAAAAAAAGTGGTCGTTTTGTATCAATTTACAACGCTGGTCGGCCGACCGTTGAAAAAAAAACGGGTCAGCGATGAAAAAAAAACTGGCCTTTTTCAAATACTGCTCCCAATTTATCATAGTTATTTTAGTCCGCATTTTGTATGCAATCGATTACACACTCATCAAGTTAAAAGAGTGCAAGCCGGCTAGACTGGTTCCCTGACCTGACCTGAAAGTTGCCGCCGTGAATCAGAGTTTATGAAGGGACGGAAAGTGGGATTTGCTATCAGCATCAACAGGGCCGTTCCTCATTATTTACCTTTTATGGGATGTGAATCAAATTGGAGGACGAGAGGCTCTGCGGGCTAGTGTATTTTTTAGATTTTTCTTTTTTTTTGCAACCAGCTTGTAGGGAAGATTTCCGTTTATTTAAGACTTAATTCACCGGTATGGATACCAGTGTACGTACATGATTGAACTGCCGAGCGTATTTAAGTATTTTTTTTCCTACAAAAATACATCAGCTCGCAGAGTCTCTCATCCTCCAATTGATTCACATCCCATCAGATGTTAAAATTTAAAGATGTTAAATTGCCTCAGATCGCACCACAGAGCATCTAGAAACCAAAAAAAAAAATTCCACCATTGGGGCCATGCAAGGTCTTGTATACATTAAAGGGAATATACATCATTTGCTTTTGCTGTAATTTTCAGAAATGGATGGAATTGGGGGGTTGGAAATATATAGCAAATATAGTTACACTGACTTTTTTGAGGTTTTGGGTTCGAAAATGCTATAAAAACCAAGAAAAACAATCATTTTCCTGTAGTCTGGTTCTCTGACTCCATATAAGAAGAAACAGAGCAGTTTACATACATTGGGGAATTGTAAGGTCAGGGAACCAGTCTAGCTGGCTTGTACCCGTTCATAGGTGTGTAATCGATTGCAAACAAGTGCGATGGTCAATTGGGGCCAATATTTGAAAAAAAGCCAGTTTTTTCCAACGCTGGTCGGCCGACCAGCGTTGGAAATTGATACAAAACTACCACTTTTCTTGAAAATGACAGTATACCAGGTGCCATGATTTTACAGGATGCTCTACGCTGTCATTCACTAACAGTCCAGCAAGGTATTTCAAAATGATTTGGTAGTTTTATTTTTTGATGTTTGCAAATGTTGTATATTCCCTTAAAAAAAAAAGATATGCCTGTTATTATTGGTACGGCCATAGCCGTACCTGCCGTACCGCTTCCTACGTCCTTGACTAACTGGAGGTATTCAGGGTATTATACTCTGTACGCAATTATATACACCCACTGCCGGACTGTTCAACTTGGCTGACGCAATCATCAAAGCGCCGTCAGAACCGTTCCACACGGCATTCACGGTGGTTGATTTTTTTTGAAAACAAAATAGCAGCGCAGCCCTCCCACGCACCCCCCAAGCAAAGCCCAGTCCTTTATTGCTGAGCCTGACTGACCCGAAAGTGGGCGAGATTTTCAACGAAACAAACTTGTAATGGGACATTGGGACTGAAGGACAGTTCGATTGACTTCCACGACTAGTGCTTCACTTAAAGGGAATATACAACATTGAAAACAAAACATCAAAACAAAAAAAAAACAACTACCGAATTGTTACGAAATACCTTACTGGACTCTTACTGTTAGCGAGTGACAGTCTAAAGCATCCTGTAAAATCATGGCACCTGGTGTGCTGGCATATTCAAAAAAAGTGGTCGTTTTGTATCAATTTACAACGCTGGTCGGCCGACCGTTGAAAAAAAAACGGGTCAGCGTTGAAAAAAAAACTGGCCTTTTTCAAATACTGCTCCCAATTTATCATAGTTATTTTAGTCCGCATTTTGTATGCAATCGATTACACACTCATCAAGTTAAAAGAGTGCAAGCCGGCTAGACTGGTTCCCTGACCTGACCTGAAAGTTGCCGCCGTGAATCAGAGTTTATGAAGGGACGGAAAGTGGGATTTGCTATCAGCATCAACAGGGCCGTTCCTCATTATTTACCTTTTATGGGATGTGAGTCAAATTGGAGGACGAGAGGCTCTGCGGGCTAGTGTATTTTTTAGATTTTTTTTTTTTTTGCAACCAGCTTGTAGGGAAGATTTCCGTTTATTTAAGACTTAATTCACCGGTATGGATACCAGTGTACGTACATGATTGAACTGCCGAGCGTATTTAAGTATTTTTTTTCTACAAAAATACATCAGCTCGCAGAGTCTCTCATCCTCCAATTGATTCACATCCCATCAGATGTTAAAATTTAAAGATGTTAAATTGCCTCAGATCGCACCACAGAGCATCTAGAAACCAAAAAAAAAAATTCCACCATTGGGGCCATGCAAGGTCTTGTATACATTAAAGGGAATATACATCATTTGCTTTTGCTGTAATTTTCAGAAATGGATGGAATTGGGGGGTTGGAAATATATAGCAAATATAGTTACACTGACTTTTTTGAGGTTTTGGGTTCGAAAATGCTATAAAAACCAAGAAAAACAATCATTTTCCTGTAGTCTGGTTCCCTGACTCCATATAAGAAGAAACAGAGCAGTTTACATACATTGGGGAATTGTAAGGTCAGGGAACCAGTCTAGCTGGCTTGTACCCGTTCATAGGTGTGTAATCGATTGCAAACAAGTGCGATGGTCAATTGGGGCCAATATTTGAAAAAAAGCCAGTTCTTTCCAACGCTGGTCGGCCGACCAGCGTTGGAAATTGATACAAAACTACCACTTTTCTTGAAAATGACAGTATACCAGGTGCCATGATTTTACAGGATGCTCTACGCTGTCATTCACTAACAGTCCAGCAAGGTATTTCAAAATGATTTGGTAGTTTTATTTTTTGATGTTTGCAAATGTTGTATATTCCCTTTAAAAAAAAAAGATATGCCTGTTATTATTGGTACGGCCATAGCCGTACCTGCCGTACCGCTTCCTACGTCCTTGGTAACTGGAGGTATTCAGGGTATTATACTCTGTACGCAATTATATACACCCACTGCCGGACTGTTCAACTTGGCTGACGCAATCATCAAAGCGCCGTCAGAACCGTTCCACACGGCATTCACGGTGGTTGATTTTTTTTGAAAACAAAATAGCAGCGCAGCCCTCCCACGCACCCCCCAAGCAAAGCCCAGTCCTTTATTGCTGAGCCTGACTGACCCGAAAGTGGGCGAGATTTTCAACGAGACAAACTTGTAATGGGACATTGGGACTGAAGGACAGTTCGATTGACTTCCACGACTCGTGCTTCACTTAAAGGGAATATACAACATTGAAAACAAAACATCAAAAAAAAAACAACTACCGAATTGTTACGAAATACCTTACTGGACTCTTACTGTTAGCGAGTGACAGTCTAAAGCATCCTGTAAAATCATGGCACCTGGTGTGCTGGCATATTCAAAAAAAGTGGTCGTTTTGTATCAATTTACAACGCTGGTCGGCCGACCGTTGAAAAAAAAACGGGTCAGCGTTGAAAAAAAAACTGGCCTTTTTCAAATACTGCTCGATTACACACTCATCAAGTTAAAAGAGTGCAAGCCGGCTAGACTGGTTCCCTGACCTGACCATTCCCCGACGTCGATAAATTGCTTCGTTTTCATCTTAAAGGGAATGTACAGCATTTGCTTTTGCTGCAATTTTCAGAAGTAAATGGATTTGGAGGGTTAGTATGTTATAGAAAATAATTATTGTTAAACTGACTTGTTTCACGTTTTGGGCTTGTAGATGCTGCGAAAACCAAGAAAACCTATCATGTTCTTGTAGTCTGGTTCCCTGGCCCCACTTAAGATGAAACAGAGCAAATAATACCCTTTGGGAAATTGTAAGGTCGGCGAATCAGCCTAGCTAGCAGGCGTGTACCCCTTCACAGGCGTGTAATCAATTGCAAAGAAAAGTCAGAATAACTAAAATTGAAAAATTAGGAAAAGTTTTTTGAGAAAAAAAAAGAGTTTTATCCAATGCTGGTCGGCCGACCAGCGTTGGAAAAATACAGTTTTTCTTGAAATTTTCAGCACACCAGGAGCCACGATTTTAAAGGATGCTTTAGACTGTCATTCCCTAACAATCCAGTAAGGTATTTCGTGATAATTTGATCATTTCGTTTTGTGATGTTTGCAAATGCTGTATCTTTCCTTTAAGTAGGGTAAGGGAACCACACTTAAGAAACATGATAGTTTTTTTCTTTGTTTTACCATCATCTACGAACCCAAAACTTCAAACAAGTAGTATAACAATATTTGTTATAAAATACTACCCCCCCCCAATCCATCACTTTCAGGAAAGTATAACAACAAAAGCAAAACGTTGTATATTCCCTTTGCATTTCCAATCAATCAATTGGCTTATTATAAGTAAATCATATTAATTATACCAAAAACAACTTACAGGTTGACTGGTGAACCTGGTTCCTGAATTCTTGAGCTTCCACTAAAGACACTGAAGTGGGCGAGATTTTCTACGAGACAAATTGGTAATGGTATCTTTACAAGAACAGTTCGATTGACTTCCACGACAAACACTTCGGCCTGAGGGAGACATGGGTCCACCGACAAGAGCAGCGAAGATGCTCCTACTCATGATGACATTTCTTGGATTGATACAGAGAGGCCGAGGGATTGTGCCGGCAAGTGAGTATATTGCATCATTTCTTAACAAACTCCCCAACAGTAAAACTTGCATGGATTTACTGTCAGATTTTGAACACAAATCGTGGAAATTTAATGAGATTTAACTCCCTGTAAAATAATCTATGAGAGCACCACTGTATTAATCAGCAAGGAAATGCAAAAGATTCTGTATTGCACCGCTTCTTTAATAATGATAACAATTACTCAAGGTGCTGGCAATTATGTCTCTTATTCAAGACAGGTAAATGAAGTTTATGAGAAAATATGAGACCCATTATGTAGCACCTTATAAGGGTGCTGCGGCGCATATTGCAGCCACTCCCAGAAACACCGGGGCAAACCCCTTCTCTTAGCGATAAGTGTTACTGGGTTCTTTAACGTGCATAACACAAGACATGGGACCTACGGCTTTACGTTCCATCCGAAGGACAAAGCAATTGTGGTAAAGTGCCTTGCTCAAGAGCACAAGCACCAGGATTCGAACCCAAGTACCATGGCACACGATTGGACCACAGCACCCCACAATTCACTATGAGAAACACCAGCTATATATGCGCTTGCCAGCTGTCCAATGACTGTTATGCAAACTTGCAAATGAATATTCCCGTTTATAGAGTCAATGATAATGATTATTTCACCTCAAATGTACTGACAACATGCATTGAGAAATGATTTTAAACGGTAAACTAAAATATGGGCAACAAACCAACTGCAGAAGCTCTTGTGCAAATTCTCCGCAATGGTTGGTCAGTTTTGTTTTTACCCTATTTGACCAACAATGAGGTAACTTCAAGTTCATGTTGAGCACGTAATATTGCCAAATAGTGTTTACCCAACTTTGTACAAATACTAGTGTACTATAGATACCGTTTGCATTGAACCGGTCAAACACTCAACACAGCCAGACGACTGTAGTTCAGTCACAACGTGCGTGACGCGCTCTAAGGCAACTCGAGGATAACTTTAGAAACTTCAGCATTCCATTTATTATATTTGACCCCATTTAATATAGGCAGCAACTCGAGAATACAAAGCATTCTTTTTATTATAGTTGGCCCCATTTTAGTGTAGGCTTGCTTGGCCATTTTCGCAACTTGTTCATTCAGTCGGACAAAATAGGCATTCCTTTTCATTAAGTTTTAGGGAGTCTGTACGAATGTCAGTTTCTATTTCGGAGTTGCATTTGGTTTTGCTTGAAATGTATCAAATTAGTTGTAACGTTTTCGTGTGAGCATATTCCAACTCGTTTGTTTGTTTTCAGTTTCACACAGAGTAGGCCAACTTGATTAAAATTAAATGTTCGTTTATAACAAAATTGCATTCAAATGAGCAGACGACTTAATTTGGTGTTTCCATTTCGCCAAACCGAAAAGTGATCACACAAATTGACTAATCGGTCACTGTAGAGCGCAAAGGAAGATTTGTTGCAATTATGCAACATTCATTTTCTTCTATCACTTTGACACTTTTGTGTTGTGCATTTTTCATATTTCATTCCATGCGGGCACTTACATTTTTTTGGAATAGCTGTACATTCTTATAAAAATCTTTCTCAAAATTCATGTTATTTTACTGTCCGTTTCAAAACTATAACACAATTCATTGCCGATGAAACTGCCCGTTTTTGCTGAGCATGTGTTCCTTAAAATATGAATGAAATTGAATTCCCGAATAGGACTTCCGAAAGCTCACGAAATTCAATGCAAAAGCAATTAAAGTAACTAGCTGGCTTCTTTTCACAAGTGAATATTATAGTAGGCCTACCCTGGAATATCTCGACTTTCGCAAAATGGAATCAGTGTGATGAAACGCTTGCACGTTTTAATGAACATTCGTTTGATTGAAAGACAAGTTGCGAAATTGGAAGGGAAAACCTCCAGTATATCACAACATTATAGACAGCGGCTGAAACTCACCCCCAGAACGCCAAGGTCTATGCCAACCATGGTCGTTGTAAATCAATTTAGGTTTTTGCCCTTCACCGACGTATAAACACTTTATACTCAGTGTGTTACCCCCGAGTGAAAGTTGGAAAACAATCACTCGGGTGGGACTCGAACCCACGGCCTCCTGCTCTCTAGTGCAGACGTCTTACCACTCGACCACCGAGCTAGCGGGATCGGTTAGCTGGTTCGAATCTGATGTACATAGGTACATCAGCTTCGAACCAGCCAACCGATCCCGTACATAGGTACATCAGATTCAAACTAGCCAACTGATCCGTAAGCTCGGTGGTCGAGTGGTAAGACCTCTGCACTAGAAAGCAGGAGGTCGTGGGTTCGAGTCCCACCCGAGTGATTTTTTTCCAACTTTCACTCGGGGGTAACACACTGAGTGTAAAGTGTTTGTACGTCAACTACTGTTTCTGATGTACCTACGTACATTGGTTCATCAGATTCGAACCAGCCAACCGTTCCCGTAAGTTCGGTGGTCGAGTGGTAAGACCTCTGCACTAGAAAGCAGGAGGTCGTGGGTTCGATTCCAAGCCGAGTGATTTTTTTCCAACTTTTACTCGGGAGGTAACACACTGAGTATACAGTGTTTATACGTCGGTGAAGGGCAAAATCCGACATTAATTTTCATCACCCCGACGCAAACTGAATTCCATCTTATGAATAAATGGTCGTAATGTTTACTAAGGCCAAAAAAAAAGTCTCCGGTTTCTGGTATGCGCGCGCGTCGCCGTAGCCATGCGCGTCGGCAAAATGAAAAAAAAAATGTTCAATAAAAGATGATGTCTCAACACCGCCAAACTCACTGGTTTGACTGGAATCCTGCTGCTGCACAATTTTAACGTGTTTTTAGATGGAGTTATGATCTAGAATAAGCTTTATGTGGCCTCTCCGGACTCCCATATATTTGCACTTAGTTTAGTCGGGCACCATTTGCTGTCATCAGCCGACATTAATTTTGAAGCAAAAAAGACAGGTAAAAAAAAAAAAAGCCGCGTCGCCGCACCACTTTTTGGGCAAGCTCTATACCAGAAACCGGAGACTTTTTTTTTGGCCTAATGGAATGGTATGAGAAACCAACTTTTATTTCCCCTTTGACCAAAATCTCTGAATGGACGTTGTCGATCGTGCCTCAATAATTTGAAATGTACTCTATTAACAAACGTTTGCCGCCATTGACAATATCCTTTTTTAGATGCCGTAGGCAAAATGGGAAAATAGGTATAGTCAATACACACTTCTTAAGTTGAGAAATGTGTTGACCGCGACGTTATTCCACAACCATTGTTAAATATGCACTGTCGGAATTGTGTGAATGGATAAATGTTTATGGGGCAGTACTTGTAAACTGTGGAAACAGTACGCAGTACGGTAGTTGTCGGTAATTGAAATAAGAAATATGTAAGAAGGAAAACAATTGTCAGATCTTGGTTTCCTTGATTCTCAGAAAAAAGATGACTGCAAATAAGGGAATAAATGTGTGTTTGGGAGGTATTAAAAACTCTGTTTAGGACCTGTTGGAGTCTGGATAATAACCCCAGGCGAAGCATTCCAAACTCCAACCGGTCTAAAGAGTGTTTAATACCGACCAAGCACATATTTATTCCCAATTCGTAAATACCTTTTCAGTCAAAAACCAAATCTTTTCGGTCAAAAAATAAAAAAAAGTCAAAAACTAGACGTTGCCAAACATTTTGTTCAACAATTTTACTTCATCTTTAATGAAACACCCCTCTTACTATAATACTGGATGTCCCTCTAGAACTCCTTACCTTATAAGGAGATCGACGTGCGCGTCGCGCGTAATGCGCGATGTTGCGCAAAACGCAGCTGGGCTGGTGTAGTGGAAATTTCGGATTATGAAATACAGATTCATGGTAGTTTTGCACATGCCTACGTGAGGAATGTGAACGTTCAACCAATGAAACGTTGAAAGGCACCGGTTTTCATGGGAGTCCAAATTTCATGTGACACTCGAAAAGTGTTTCAGACCAGCCAGCCATGCATGTCTTTATCATCCGTTTAAAACCGGCCACGTGTTGGGGCGCCAAAAGGAATTGGTAAACCTTATAACATAAAGTATTTATGAATAAAACATGATGTAGGGGTGCTGTGGGGTGCTGTGGCCCAATGGTTACAGTGGTACATGGGTTCGAATCCTGACCGTGGGAACATGGTGCTTGTACTCTTGATCAAGGCACTTTACCATTATTACTTCGTCCTTCGGATGGGACGTAAAGCCGTAGGTCCCGTGTGTTGTGTAATGCACGTAAAAGAACCCAGTAACGCTAAGAGAAGGGGTTTGCCCCGGTGTTTCTGGCAGTGGCAGCAATATGCGCCGCAGCATCTTGTAAACCATTATATGGTATTACATAATGGGTCTCATATTTATCATAAACTTTATTTACCTTTCTTTAATAATAGACATAATTTCCAGCGCATTGAGTACCTAATTGTTGGTGCGCTATATAAGACTCCGATATTATTATTATTACTATGTAAACTTGGTGAACAAAATAGTTGGCAACGTCCAGTTTTTGGCTTGTTTTGATTTTTGGACCGAAACGATTTGGTTTTGACCGAAAAGGTATTTATGAATGGGAATAAATATGTGCTTGGTCGGTATTAAACACTCTGTTTAAGACTTGTGTGTATAAATGTGCAAGCTAGCAATTTACAACACATGGGTAAAACAAACAAGAGGGCATTATATTTCCATAATCAAGGAGTCTGGGTTCGCAACAATACTATTCCGCCATAAATAAAACATTCGACGCATAATATGTTTTTCTGTGTCTAAACTCCTGCTTACAGAAATCAATATGAATTGAAGGTAATCTTTATACACTTTCAGGCAGTTTCTATGGACAATGGGACTACCCAATGATACGTTCCAAAAATACTTGGCTTACTTGACTGATACCGTCCACACAGGTAGCAGACCTGGTGATGGCTCTTGCATGGTGGTGTTGTGCCAAACTTTCCTGTCCATAGCCAACCTTGCTGCATCAGTTATTCTTGATTTGATCTTGATTTGCTGTCCTGTGAGATGCAGTCTTAAAGCCATTGTTTTTGTGAGCGGCCTCTTGGTCTGTCTCCTTTGACATTGCCTTCTATGCCATTTAGGGGTATCTTGTGATGGGTTGCATTCTTTTAACGTGGCCAAAGTACTTCAGTCTTTTTATTGTTATAATCTTTCTGATGGTCTAGGTCCAAGTTGAGAGGTTCTTTGATGTGTGTGTTGCGGATCTTGTCTAGACGGCTCACTCCCATTATACGACGAAGGCTCATCAAAAACATCTAAAAAACATGGAGCCTGTTTTCATCTTCTTTCTTAACTGTCCATGACTCGGCACCATACAGGAGTATTGACAGAATCAGAGTTTGGTACAGCTGCATCTTGGTGTGGTTGCTGATGACTTTGGATGTCCAAATGTTATACAGCTTTTGAAAGACTGCCCCCGCTTTCCTGATTCTTGTTTTGATGCAGCGTGGCCACTCATCAAAATTGAAACTCCCAAGATTCATCCAGTAAAATTCCCAAGAATTCCAAAGGCAATGGAGAACAGTGTACAATATGAATTTAACAGAGCACGCGGTAGCCTAAAATCATATAGAATTATGATATTTTTACAACCAAAAATCCCAAGAACTTGGAAGAAATCCCAAGGAGTGGCCACGCTGTTTTAATGTCCTTTGCGCGTGTTCCGTTGTTTGCTATTGTGCTCCTAGACACAATTGTCCACCTGCTCTAGTTTGTTGTTGTTGATTTTGATGTTGCACTTTCTGTTGCTTATGACTTGAACTTCTGTTTTGCTGATGTTTATCTTGAGGCCATAGTCGCTGCTGGATTTGTACACTTTGTCCACTAAGGATTGAAGTTCCTCTGGAGTTAAAATTATTTGGTCCTAAATGGTGCGGCAAGAAAAACCGTAGTAGGGCCTACATCCAGCATTGCAGACGGGTGTCACAAATAAATGCAGACTTCTGATGAATACAGCAATTAATTCGGTGTGCTAATAGGGCCGTGTTCCTACAACAGAAATGGTAACAATGTACGTCTGACGTAGAGGATTTTTAAAGTTATTTCATCAAAAGAAGTTTAAAAAATTATGCAAAATAATTCAAAAATTATTTAACAAGTCTTAATACAATCTTGTTTACAGGTGATATGTATAGTTTTCAAATGGGACCCCGTAGTGGTACTGAAGATGGTGGACCTATTGAAATCGTTGTGACGAGGACTGGAATGCACGTTGATGCCAATTCTACAGTGGGTAAGTAGCATATGCTCAGTTCAAGGCATTGTACGCTTACTTTCTTTTCGTGTATTTTGTTCGTTTCGAATAAAAACACCACTCAAAATCCATAGAAGAACGTTCAAAACAAAACCTGTTGAGGATGCAGCTCCGTGAACACTTTTTTTCCCGAGAAAACAATGGAAAAACGTGTACATAATTTCACCGGGTGTTTAGTACCAGTACAATCTTTAATCTAAGTAAGCTGTTTGATAATAAATCGGTAGTACTTTCGATATGGGGAGTCACGGTGGCGTAGCAGTACTTTCCTCGCCTTCCACCGCTGTGTGACCCGGGTTCGAATCCCGCCTGGTAGGGGTGGTAAAATCCAGTGTCAAAATTTGACTCATTGAGTCGAACGAAAAATGTTAACTTAACTCTGCACGCCATCGACTTGCTTCGTTTGCATCAAATTCGAAACTTTCTAAAACTACAAATGTTTGCCATTTAATATTTCAGTCCACGCCTAGAGTGTACGTTAAAGTCGGCTATAAGAATCAATGCCGGTGTGGCGTGAAAATCCGACTCCGTCAAATATGGACTCATTGGTGGCATTGAACATGCGAAAGTATGATAATAGCCTATTTATAGGTATATGGGAGAGTGACTTGCCAGGTGTGAGGGATTAACCAATAATAGGGAAAATGAGTCCGATTTTCATAGGAGTCGGACTTTCATAATTATGACAGCGGCCGCTTTATCCAAACGATCAAAAACCGAAACTATCGACTTGAACTCATGTACGTCTACCAGCGCGTTGGGATATGGCTACTGGACAACGGAAAGGCATTTTCTCAGAAATGTATGTAAAGGGCCTATACTGTAAACGAATGAAATGCTTCCCTAGACTTTGAAAACACATCTTACTGAAAAACAGTTAAACTTGCACCTAGTTTAGCTGATCGTAACTGTAGTCAGCTACAAGCCTGGGACACTTCCTGAGCCTGCCACGGCGACCTACTCCCCCGCTCCCCCTGTCAATGTTGTTCTCTCCAGCTGATGGAGCACACACCGCGCAATGAAAGACAACATCGAACGGGGCCGGAGGGTTGGGGGCCCAGCGAGATTTGGCCAGGATTGTAGGTCTGCAAGCTCGACTGTTTTCTATAATCTAACTGGCTGCTTTTATCGTGTACAATTTTGCTTTCATTTTGATGACAGCTGTTGCCAGCTCCGATGGAACGGCGACAGCCGGTGCAGATTATCTTGTGGTGATGGAAACGTTAGAATTCCAGCTGACGAGGAACCAAGTTAGTGTTACCGTGACAATCATTGACGATGGTGCCGCAGAGGACACCGAGTGTTTCACACTGACACTGTCAAATCCCGATCCCACTGGCACTCTTGGGTCAGCAACTGAAATTTGCATCGTCGATAATGAGGGTGAGATTGCAAATCTAACTCGTAGGCCTACATGTGGAAGGTTTTTTTTTTGTGGTCCTGAACTTCATCTGTGGTTTCTGTTTCAAGAAATTTGAAGAATATTTAACAATTGTTGACTGTTGTGATGTGGGATATGACGTTTTGAACACCCGACCCGAGTGGTGCATAGCACCCGAGGGTGCTATGCGCCCCGAGGGTGTTCAAAACATCATATCCCACATCGCAGCAGTCAACAATTGTTTTGTTAGGCCTATACCTTTGTCTTGGATTCTTTGGATTTTGATGTAAAATCACGAAAACAAACAGCAGTAAACACAATAGTCATGACAATCGATCGGCATATCCATGGCATGTCGAGTGCTCGAAACAGCTGATCGTCTGCTAGTTCGCCGCTCCCACTCATATGTGAAAACATGGTGAAAATAGCGTGGGTACCAACGATACATGCGTTTCACACAGTACGTATACTGCATGTATCACGTGCGTGATATCCCAAGGGAGTGTGCTATGACTTGTTATAAACTTAACACGTGATCGTTCTTGGCCAGTGAAAATGCAGTTTTCAAGACAGAGGTATAACAATAGTTTTTTAAGAGATTGACACAATTCAGGGAAGTCAAGCCAAGTATAGTGTATATCCCTTGGATTTGGACGATAATGGCGTCTAAAACGATTCCTGGTGCCAGAGATGAAGTTCCGGTCGAAGACGAAGACATGGTTTGAAAGCCCTCCAAGATTGGCCTGTCTTAGCTTTTTATTGTATATTTTAAAGGCTGCACTTTTCAAAACAAAGATGATCTCAGTTTCACACGAATACCATGGAGCGCATTAGTAACTTTTATTCATATCAATGGATTTTGAGATACTTTGAAATGGATTTCGAGATATGTTGAAACGCATTTCGAGATATCTTGAAATGGACTTCGAGATATCTTGAAATGCATTTCGAGATATCTTGAACTGATTTCTACATATCTTGAAATGGATTTCCAAATATCTTGAAATGGATTTCGATATGTCTTGAAAATATTTGGAAATATCTTGAAAACATTTGAAGATATCTTGAAATGCTTTTCGAGATATCGTGAAATCCTTTTCGAGATAACTTGAAATAATCACCCAGAGGCTTGAAATTGTGAGAATGTTTAGTGATATCTTCATTGGAGATATCTTTCAGTGATTGGGTTTGTTGAAATAATCAAAAGCTACCACGTGAACTTGAATAATTGTCAGTTATGGCAGTTATGTAGTAACAAATTGTAGTGGTCGATAATGGCTTGTGCAGCACCTCATTCAACCATCAACCCACTGTGCCAAACAATCATGTCATTTCATTTCAGAGAGAAATATGCGAAATTACGACATACATGACTTTGTGTTATTTTGTTTCTTGAGATTCTCAAGAGACTGGTGATTAATATTTTCTCAAAATGGTCGGTGAAATCCTGCCAGTAAATAACACGTGATGAATCTGGAATGCTGTTTTGTGAATGATGTTAATTCGTCAACAGCTTGTTTTTTATCGAATCGCTCACCAGATTGCTTTTATGAAATACAGGGTGAGTAAAAAAAACGGAACCCAAAAATATATTTCATATTTAAAACAAAAAACATGTGGCACCAACAATAATAACGACTGGAAAGCCGATTTCAGAACCTTTTTTTTTAAGATGAAAAACTACTGAAATTACTCCATCCGTTCAAACAATATCACCATTTAAACGCAATGACCCTAAAACCTGTTTTGTCCAACGAAAAAAAGCAATTCATTGTGTATTCTGACTGTTTGGAATGGCAAAGAATTTTGACACAGAATACTTGTTTCAACAAAAGTCAACAAGTGTAGTACAAAATTATTAACAACTCTTCTTAGGCAAACAATATGATTTATGAAACCCTTTTTTTTTTTCAAAAGACGGGTCTTCAAAAGGACTTTGTTGTGAATATATATTTGTAACGTTTAAACTGAGGTTCTATCGCTGGTGATGTTTGAATGCAATTGTGACGACGATTCTTGAAATCGCACTTTTGGAAGAAAGAGGTTTTAGGGTCATTGTGTTTAAATGGTGATATACTTTGTACGGATTGAGCAACTGTAATAATTTTTTTCATCCAAAAGTAGTTTCTAAAATTGGCTTTCCAGTCATTATCATTGTTGTGCTACATATTCTTTTAAATCTGAAATATATATTTTGAGGTTTGGGTTCCGTTTTTTAATCACCCTGTATGTAGTTATTGGATAATCAAAGTAACGTCACTACATAAGGATCCAAATTAATAACCAGGGGTACTAGCGGAGCTTGGGAATTAACTCTTTATTTTCGGCTGAAGACGAAGACAATAAAAAAAGCTCTTCATTTTCCATCTCCAAATGCCGAGTTGGGAAGGAGGAGGTGCGCACAGAGGGAGGACACGGAGACGCAGAGGGGCCTATGCCCTGCCCCTCCACTCCTACGTGCCCACATCATGTGCCCTAAATTATGACACTGTTTTCATATATCTGAAATTTCCCATCCATTTACTTCTTATCATGCACCATTTCAAAGATCCTTGTACGTGTCCTGATGGCTGCCCGGCCGTGCCATGTTCAAATGGGGGTACATGTATGGATGCTGGTCATGGAATGAATAACTGTACTTGCCCTTCGGGGTGGAAAGGCGCCACCTGTGACGAGGAAGGTAAGCCAAATTCTAAACCTTGAGGTTTAATGTGAATAGCATATAGTTGTATGTGCATGTGAACGTGTTACAGTGAACGGAACGGTCGTTCGGGTTATCAAAGCATTTTTCTCATTATAAAGAATGGAGCATTTCAAAATTTCTGACCAGTAAACAAGTTTGGATATAAAATCAGCAATCTACGTGTTCTTCAACAATTTTTTCTGTCAAGGCTTCTGCAGCCTTCTGCAAAAAGCTTCATTATCTTAAATTGCTTTTCGTGCCCTGAAAGTAGACCGGTTATCGGTCCCCTAACTGACCAATTCTGATAGAGGCAGGAACCAGTCTGCCATGCAAAGAACGGAATTATCGTTTAGTAATTCGACATTTGTGAAGCAGTTAATCCAGGACTAAACATGAACTAAACTAAACATGGTTTTTGTCGTCTGATGTTTCTTGTTGAATTGAACAACGTTTATTACAGTACAGACGTTTTCCTTGTTCCGGATAGCAAACATCATTCAGGCTGCTTTCGGCTCAACTACTCCAGGAATTCAAGTGACATTGGCTAAAAAATTTACCTTGAGTGATGGACATACTACACAGTAATTTTCCAAATTTAAGCTCCTTTTAATTCGACTTTACCACGTCAAAAGTATCCCTTTTTTGCCTTTTTTCCTAGTTCCGGATCGGGTCAATCAGATCTGAATCGATCAAACACTGCTTCGCGCTAAAAAAAAAAAAAAAAGGGAGAAAATCATTTTTTTTTCAGCCAGAAAAAAAAACAAATCAAGCACATTTCTGATAAAGTATTATTTAATTGACCAAAAATAGTTCATTCAAGAGAATTCTAGCAAATTTTAAAAAGAGAAAAACTTAAATGATTTTGAAAATTTTGTCTACAGCACAACGAACTCAAACACGGACCAAAAACTTCACATAAAATCGATTAACGCGCGTGTAGTTGGGTCGTAAGTGCACGTGCGATCCGGAACTAGGCAAAAACATACGGTCAATCGTTGGCGAATTTTTAAAAATTAGAGACTCTACAACTTATTTGGATTCAACAAACATTGGATGGAAGAGTTTATACGACTATAGTGTATGAACAAAATGTTTGAAATCACACGGTACGAGTGATGTACCGAGGAGAAAAATGTATCGTCGATTCGCAGCTCCTGCGTTTTTCTGCAAACGTCCAAACATGTCAAAGTGCGAGTCGGAAATCTAGCCAAAATTCATCTTCTAAAGATTTTATCGAAAAGATCTTTCTGTATCATGAAGCTTACATTTTCCTTTTCAAAATGCACTTAGTCTAATCTAAAAGAGGTAGAGTTTTATTTGAAGCGATTCGGAACTAGGAAAAATCCGGAACTAGGAAAACGACTGTACATTTAATCCTAAAAAACATGCTTTTTTTACTTGCCATTGTACAAGTTGTGCAGCGTTACGTCCTTTTATAACCTTTTCGTGATTTTGTTTTATTGTTATTGTGTACTGTCTGTGCGTTTCAACAAACTCCACTGTTTACTCCTCATGAACTTTCTAGCGTTGTATTTTGCTTTTAGAAAAAAGTTCTGTAAACTAATCGTCCCATAAGTAATCATGGACCGATTATTCACTACGAGGTGTCGTACCAATAAGAAATATCTTTTTTTTCCTTAAAAACAAACATTTTGAAAGCAGAAAGGTGTTTTTTGGGGGGATGATTCGAATACATGAAAACCATGCTTCTTAAAATAGACTAATATTTGTTATTATTCATCAATGTTTTTGCATTGTTACCTTTGATATAACGATTTCGTTGTTTGTTGTTTGGGTATTTTTCAGCCGCAACTTACAATTTTGAGCAGGCATCCTACTCTACAAATGAAGGAGATGGCCCTATCGATATCACCATTATACGCACTGGAGCTTCGGCTTTGGAAAGTACTCTTGTTGGTATGATACCTAATTAGTAAGATCAAATGTCATTGAAACTGTATGTTTGTATTTGTTACAAAATAACCTGCAAAGATGCTTAAATGTTTGGGTTGCCTGCCGAAGGCCCATTGGTATGACCATCGGTAGGACCTCAGCTCTATGGTATGACGTCACAGGTAATATGGTCTATATTTTTCTTTGGTACTTCATCGACTCACTCACTTATTGTCACTTATGAATTAAATTTGCTTAAGTCTCACCTGAGCCCCAAAATTCGACTCAGATGACTATATTAACCCCATGGACTCAATTGGTGTGATCATTCTGGGCAAGTTTTATAAGCTTGCCTTGTCTTGTTTTCACTAATGATTGAGTCAATTTGTGGCCCCAACCTTGTAGGCAAAGTAGTATACGCCTACACTAGTTTAAATAAAAGATTTAATTACCTGAACATTTCATCATTATCAATATGCTATTTTTCCCCCACAGACGTTGTTACCTCCGATGGGACTGCTGTTGCAGGAATGGATTATTCATCTCAGACTGCCACTCTAAACTTCACAGATACAAATATCACAGTATTCACGGTCACAATAATTGATGATGACAGCGCGCAGGACACGCATTGTTTCACCTTGTCTTTGATGAATCCAGATCCAAGCGATGGACAAGTTGGTGCTGATACAGAAATCTGCATCATTGATGATGAAGGTACAGTTAGAAGCCCCTAGTCCCCGTAATGTCAAAACAGCTCTTATTGTGTGCCAGAACATCAAACATCACGAGACTACCAAATGAAATGGACTTGTCTAATGCTGATCTTTTCAAGGGTTTTTAAGCCAAGGCATTTGTGAACATTGGGAAACATAATGGCATATACAGAGAATATTATTGATCGTCTATACGGAGACTGCAAATAGAATCGAGAACAAGCAAAATGATACATCAATGGTGTTTATTATTGATGTTTATGTGAAGTAAATAGAGTTGATTTTAATGCATTTTTAGATCCATGTGCTTGCACTGGTAATTGTCCACTCGTACCATGTTCAAATGGAGGTATGTGTATGGATGCTGGTCGTGGAATGTACAACTGTACTTGTGCGTTTGGATGGAAAGGATCTACCTGTGCCGATGAAGGTAATGAAATCATAATTGAGTTATTCACATGCAAAAGGCTCGGATTCGTGCGTTCCCCAAAGCCGAATGTGAAAAAGTGAAGTTGAAATTGGTGCGTGAAAGTGCCATCCGTGTACCTTTGGATTTCCAGGCTCCTAGTGTGGGATATATCGAAGCTTTTATGTCTTCTACCTTCATGATCGTGAATTTGTATCTTTCCTGCTGACTTGCTATTGTTTTCTAATTGCGTTTGTATTGTTACCTTCGATATCACAATTTCGTGGTTTCTTGTTGAATACTAGCAGTACCTTTTTTTGTTTGGGTATGTTTTTCAGCCACGGTATACAATTTTGAGCAGGCATCCTACTCTACAAATGAAGGAGATGGCCCTATTGATATCACCATTATACGCACTGGAGCTTCGGCTTTGGAAAGTACTCTTGTTGGTATGATACCTAATTAGTAAGATCAAATGTCATTGAAACTGTATGTTTGTATTTGTTACAAAATAACCTGCAAAGTGCTTAAATGTTTGGGTTGCCTGCCGAAGGCCCATTGGTATGACCATCGGTAGGACCTCAGCTCTATGGTATGACGTCACAGGTAATATGGTCTATATTTTTCTTTGGTACTTCATCGACTCACTCACTTATTGTCACTTATGATTTAAATTTGCTTAAGTCTCACCTGAGCCCCAAAATTCGACTCAGATGACTATATTAACCCCATGGACTCAATTGGTGTGATCATTCTGGGCAAGTTTTATAGGCTTGCCTTGTCTTGTTTTCATTAATGATTGAGTCAATTTGTGGCCCCAACCTTGTTGGCAAAGTAGTATACGCCTACACTAGTTTAAATAAAAGATTTAATTACCTGAACATTTCATCATTATCAATATGCTATTTTTCCCCCACAGACGTTGTTACCTCCGATGGGACTGCTGTTGCAGGAATGGATTATTCATCTCAGACTGCCACTCTAAACTTCACAGATACAAATATCACAGTATTCACGGTCACAATAATTGATGATGACAGCGCGCAGGACACGCATTGTTTCACCTTGTCTTTGATGAATCCAGATCCAAGCGATGGACAAGTTGGTGCTGATACAGAAATCTGCATCATTGATGATGAAGGTACAGTTAGAAGCCCCTAGTCCCCGTAATGTCAAAACAGCTCTTATTGTGTGCCAGAACATCAAACATCACGAGACTACCAAATGAAATGGACTTGTCTAATGCTGATCTTTTCAAGGGTTTTTAAGCCAAGGCATTTGTGAACATTGGGAAACATAATGGCATATACAGAGAATATTATTGATCGTCTATACGGAGACTGCAAATAGAATCGAGAACAAGCAAAATGATACATCAATGGTGTTTATTATTGATGTTTATGTGAAGTAAATAGAGTTGATTTTAATGCATTTTTAGATCCATGTGCTTGCACTGGTAATTGTCCACTCGTACCATGTTCAAATGGAGGTATGTGTATGGATGCTGGTCGTGGAATGTACAACTGTACTTGTGCGTTTGGATGGAAAGGATCTACCTGTGCCGATGAAGGTAATGAAATCATAATTGAGTGATTCCCATGCAAAAGGCTCGGATTCGTGCGTTCCCCAAAGCCGAATGTGAAAAAGTGAAGTTGAAATTGGTGCGTGAAAGTGCCATCCCGTGTACCTTTGGATTTTCAGGCTCCTAGTGTGGGATATATCGAAGCTTTTATGCCTTCTACCTTCATGATCGTGAATTTGTATCTTTCCTGCTGACTTGCTATTGTTTTCTAATTGCGTTTGTATTGTTACCTTCGATATCACAATTTCGTGGTTTCTTGTTGAATACTAGCAGTACCTTTTTCTGTTTGGGTATGTTTTTCAGCCACGGTATACAATTTTGAGCAGGCATCCTACTCTACAAATGAAGGAGATGGCCCTATTGATATCACCATTATACGTACTGGAGCTTCGGCTTTGGAAAGTACTCTTGTTGGTATGATACCTAATTAGTAAGATCAAATGTCATTGAAACTGTATGTTTGTATTTGTTACAAAATAACCTGCAAAGATGCTTAAATGTTTGGGTTGCCTGCCGAAGGCCCATTGGTATGACCATCGGTAGGACCTCAGCTCTATGGTATGACGTCACAGGTAATATGGTCTATATTTTTCTTTGGTACTTCATCGACTCACTCACTTATTGTCACTTATGAATTAAATTTGCTTAAGTCTCACCTGAGCCCCAAAATTCGACTCAGATGACTATATTAACCCCATGGACTCAATTGGTGTGATCATTCTGGGCAAGTTTTATAGGCTTGCCTTGTCTTGTTTTCACTAATGATTGAGTCAATTTGTGGCCCCAACCTTGTAGGCAAAGTAGTATACGCCTACACTAGTTTAAATAAAAGATTTAATTACCTGAACATTTCATCATTATCAATATGCTATTTTTCCCCCACAGACGTTGTTACCTCCGATGGGACTGCTGTTGCAGGAATGGATTATTCATCTCAGACTGCCACTCTAAACTTCACAGATACAAATATCACAGTATTCACGGTCACAATAATTGATGATGACAGCGCGCAGGACACGCATTGTTTCACCTTGTCTTTGATGAATCCAGATCCAAGCGATGGACAAGTTGGTGCTGATACAGAAATCTGCATCATTGATGATGAAGGTACAGTTAGAAGCCCCTAGTCCCCGTAATGTCAAAACAGCTCTTATTGTGTGCCAGAACATCAAACATCACGAGACTACCAAATGAAATGGACTTGTCTAATGCTGATCTTTTCAAGGGTTTTTAAGCCAAGGCATTTGTGAACATTGGGAAACATAATGGCATATACAGAGAATATTATTGATCGTCTATACGGAGACTGCAAATAGAATCGAGAACAAGCAAAATGATACATCAATGGTGTTTATTATTGATGTTTATGTGAAGTAAATAGAGTTGATTTTAATGCATTTTTAGATCCATGTGCTTGCACTGGTAATTGTCCACTCGTACCATGTTCAAATGGAGGTATGTGTATGGATGCTGGTCGTGGAATGTACAACTGTACTTGTGCGTTTGGATGGAAAGGATCTACCTGTGCCGATGAAGGTAATGAAATCATAATTGAGTGATTCCCATGCAAAAGGCTCGGATTCGTGCGTTCCCCAAAGCCGAATGTGAAAAAGTGAAGTTGAAATTGGTGCGTGAAAGTGCCATCCGTGTACCTTTGGATTTTCAGGCTCCTAGTGTGGGATATATCGAAGCTTTTATGCCTTCTACCTTCATGATCGTGAATTTGTATCTTTCCTGCTGACTTGCTATTGTTTTCTAATTGCGTTTGTATTGTTACCTTCGATATCACAATTTCGTGGTTTCTTGTTGAATACTAGCAGTACCTTTTTCTGTTTGGGTATGTTTTTCAGCCACGGTATACAATTTTGAGCAGGCATCCTACTCTACAAATGAAGGAGATGGCCCTATTGATATCACCATTATACGTACTGGAGCTTCGGCTTTGGAAAGTACTCTTGTTGGTATGATACCTAATTAGTAAGATCAAATGTCATTGAAACTGTATGTTTGTATTTGTTACAAAATAACCTGCAAAGATGCTTAAATGTTTGGGTTGCCTGCCGAAGGCCCATTGGTATGACCATCGGTAGGACCTCAGCTCTATGGTATGACGTCACAGGTAATATGGTCTATATTTTTCTTTGGTACTTCATCGACTCACTCACTTATTGTCACTTATGAATTAAATTTGCTTAAGTCTCACCTGAGCCCCAAAATTCGACTCAGATGACTATATTAACCCCATGGACTCAATTGGTGTGATCATTCTGGGCAAGTTTTATAGGCTTGCCTTGTCTTGTTTTCACTAATGATTGAGTCAATTTGTGGCCCCAACCTTGTAGGCAAAGTAGTATACGCCTACACTAGTTTAAATAAAAGATTTAATTACCTGAACATTTCATCATTATCAATATGCTATTTTTCCCCCACAGACGTTGTTACCTCCGATGGGACTGCTGTTGCAGGAATGGATTATTCATCTCAGACTGCCACTCTAAACTTCACAGATACAAATATCACAGTATTCACGGTCACAATAATTGATGATGACAGCGCGCAGGACACGCATTGTTTCACCTTGTCTTTGATGAATCCAGATCCAAGCGATGGACAAGTTGGTGCTGATACAGAAATCTGCATCATTGATGATGAAGGTACAGTTAGAAGCCCCTAGTCCCCGTAATGTCAAAACAGCTCTTATTGTGTGCCAGAACATCAAACATCACGAGACTACCAAATGAAATGGACTTGTCTAATGCTGATCTTTTCAAGGGTTTTTAAGCCAAGGCATTTGTGAACATTGGGAAACATAATGGCATATACAGAGAATATTATTGATCGTCTATACGGAGACTGCAAATAGAATCGAGAACAAGCAAAATGATACATCAATGGTGTTTATTATTGATGTTTATGTGAAGTAAATAGAGTTGATTTTAATGCATTTTTAGATCCATGTGCTTGCACTGGTAATTGTCCACTCGTACCATGTTCAAATGGAGGTATGTGTATGGATGCTGGTCGTGGAATGTACAACTGTACTTGTGCGTTTGGATGGAAAGGATCTACCTGTGCCGATGAAGGTAATGAAATCATAATTGAGTTATTCACATGCAAAAGGCTCGGATTCGTGCGTTCCCCAAAGCCGAATGTGAAAAAGTGAAGTTGAAATTGGTGCGTGAAAGTGCCATCCGTGTACCTTTGGATTTTCAGGCTCCTAGTGTGGGATATATCGAAGCTTTTATGTCTTCTACCTTCATGATCGTGAATTTGTATCTTTCCTGCTGACTTGCTATTGTTTTCTAATTGCGTTTGTATTGTTACCTTCGATATCACAATTTCGTGGTTTCTTGTTGAATACTAGCAGTACCTTTTTTTGTTTGGGTATGTTTTTCAGCCACGGTATACAATTTTGAGCAGGCATCCTACTCTACAAATGAAGGAGATGGCCCTATTGATATCACCATTATACGCACTGGAGCTTCGGCTTTGGAAAGTACTCTTGTTGGTATGATACCTAATTAGTAAGATCAAATGTCATTGAAACTGTATGTTTGTATTTGTTACAAAATAACCTGCAAAGATGCTTAAATGTTTGGGTTGCCTGCCGAAGGCCCATTGGTATGACCATCGGTAGGACCTCAGCTCTATGGTATGACGTCACAGGTAATATGGTCTATATTTTTCTTTGGTACTTCATCGACTCACTCACTTATTGTCACTTATGAATTAAATTTGCTTAAGTCTCACCTGAGCCCCAAAATTCGACTCAGATGACTATATTAACCCCATGGACTCAATTGGTGTGATCATTCTGGGCAAGTTTTATAGGCTTGCCTTGTCTTGTTTTCACTAATGATTGAGTCAATTTGTGGCCCCAACCTTGTAGGCAAAGTAGTATACGCCTACACTAGTTTAAATAAAAGATTTAATTACCTGAACATTTCATCATTATCAATATGCTATTTTTCCCCCACAGACGTTGTTACCTCCGATGGGACTGCTGTTGCAGGAATGGATTATTCATCTCAGACTGCCACTCTAAACTTCACAGATACAAATATCACAGTATTCACGGTCACAATAATTGATGATGACAGCGCGCAGGACACGCATTGTTTCACCTTGTCTTTGATGAATCCAGATCCAAGCGATGGACAAGTTGGTGCTGATACAGAAATCTGCATCATTGATGATGAAGGTACAGTTAGAAGCCCCTAGTCCCCGTAATGTCAAAACAGCTCTTATTGTGTGCCAGAACATCAAACATCACGAGACTACCAAATGAAATGGACTTGTCTAATGCTGATCTTTTCAAGGGTTTTTAAGCCAAGGCATTTGTGAACATTGGGAAACATAATGGCATATACAGAGAATATTATTGATCGTCTATACGGAGACTGCAAATAGAATCGAGAACAAGCAAAATGATACATCAATGGTGTTTATTATTGATGTTTATGTGAAGTAAATAGAGTTGATTTTAATGCATTTTTAGATCCATGTGCTTGCACTGGTAATTGTCCACTCGTACCATGTTCAAATGGAGGTATGTGTATGGATGCTGGTCGTGGAATGTACAACTGTACTTGTGCGTTTGGATGGAAAGGATCTACCTGTGCCGATGAAGGTAATGAAATCATAATTGAGTTATTCACATGCAAAAGGCTCGGATTCCTGCGTTCCCCAAAGCCGAATGTGAAAAAGTGAAGTTGAAATTGGTGCGTGAAAGTGCCATCCGTGTACCTTTGGATTTTCAGGCTCCTAGTGTGGGATATATCGAAGCTTTTATGTCTTCAAGCTTCTTGATCGTGAATTTGTATCTTTCCTGCTGACGTGCTATTGTTTTCTAATTGCGTTTGTATTGTTACTTTCGATATCACAATTTCGTGGTTTCTTGTTGAATACTAGTTGTACCTTTTTTTGTTTGTGTATGTTTTTCAGCCACGGTATACAATTTTGAGCAGGCATCCTACTCTACAAATGAAGGAGATGGCCCTATTGATATCACCATTATACGCACTGGAGCTTCGGCTTTGGAAAGTACTCTTGTTGGTATGATACCTAATTAGTAAGATCAAATGTCATTGAAACTGTATGTTTGTATTTGTTACAAAATAACCTGCAAAGATGCTTAAATGTTTGAGTTGCCTGCCGAAGGCCCATTGGTATGACCATCGGTAGGACCTCAGCTCTATGGTATGACGTCACAGGTAATATGGTCTATATTTTTCTTTGGTACTTCATCGACTCACTCACTTATTGTCACTTATGAATTAAATTTGCTTAAGTCTCATCTGCGCCCCAAAATTCGACTCAGATGACTATATTAACCCCATGGACTCAATTGGTGTGATCATTCTGGGCAAGTTTTATAGGCTTGCCTTGTCTTGTTTTCACTAATGATTGAGTCAATTTGTGGCCCCAACCTTGTAGGCAAAGTAGTATACGCCTACACTAGTTTAAATGAAAGATTTCATTACCTGAACATTTCGTCATTATCAATATGCTATTTTTCCCCCACAGACGTTGTTACCTCCGATGGGACTGCTGTTGCAGGAATGGATTATTCATCTCAGACTGCCACTCTAAACTTCACAGATACAAATATCACAGTATTCACGGTCACAATAATTGATGATGACAACGCGCAGGACACGCATTGTTTCACCTTGTCTTTGATGAATCCAGATCCAAGCGATGGACAAGTTGGTGCTGATACAGAAATCTGCATCATTGATGATGAAGGTACAGTCGGCCAAAACGCAAATCTGAATAAAACTGTAAATTCAACGACACAACTGTTAATGAATGCAATAAGGAGTCTGGTAAAATTTTTCCCGAATGGAACATTGATTGAAGGCCTTTAAAATGGATATGTTCGTGTTGCAAGTTGCTGATCTCTAATTTTATATTTTTAGAGAAGTTCTTTTTGAAAACAACAGGTCGATGAGTAGGAGAGATTTGTCCACTGCGATTGACCTTTTCTTGAGAATTATATTCAAAGATTTAATCATTTGAATGGCAGACGTGTGGGGTTATGTTTTGCATTGAACAGCCTTGTCCCCAGGGCTTACTATATTTTCAACCTCGCTTCCAATAGTAAGCCCTGAGATGGGAACCTGCTCCCATCATGTTTTGATGGCGCATTTAGCAGGTAATGGATGTATATCGGGTACTTGGTGTTGTTATTTCTAGCGTGTATTACGCGTTTTCACGTTCATTGTAATTAGTATATTACGTCCACACCTTCTCAAAAAATAATCCTTTCCGTTGCAATTTGCTAATATTAATGTAAACTGTGATACTGTATTTCGGCTAGATGGGATTGTTACATTTTAACTTTGAAAAACAATCGTGTTGTAGCAAATCACGCCGTCACGAATTGATCATATATATTTTACCCAAAACACCACATACAAAACCAAACGTACAGGCGGACACCATGCAGACTATTTCTCATTTGCACGCGTATCCAAATTGTTTTCATATGCCAACGATCCAGTACCAGGGTGATAGAGCAGGTAGTGGTGGGAGCGTACTGCTCAACACCCTGGGAACGAGGTTGAAATGCATGGGGTTGTGTTTAGCATTGAGATGGCAATGTGTGCTAGTGCAAACATTTTACTTACATTCCTACATTACTTCAGCCAAAATGTGGTTTTCGCTTTTCAGTTTTGATTTTAATTTTCTGTTATTTTCCACCGTTTTGCTATTTATTAACTCACGGCCGTTTTGCAGATGTAGTCAAGCCTGTCTTTGACCCATGCCCTCCTGTACTCCAAGCAAGCTACCCAACTGACTTGAACCTCCCAACAGCCGTCGTCAGTTGGACTCCACCAAATGTAACCGATAACAGTGGAGGAACTGTCACGGTCGATGCCAGTCACATGCCAGGGGAGGCATTCGACATTGGAGTAACAAGAATCATGATGAATGCAACTGATGAAAGTGGCAACATGGAATCATGCGTGTTCAATGTCACTGTTGTTGGTAAGGCCATATACATTTATTTACCATAATTGGGACTTGAATAATCATGAATGCAGTTTTGCTGAAATGTCTTCTCCCTGCTTTGTGCTTGCCTTCTCATGTTGACATGATACGTCTCTCAACGGAAAACATTTTTCTTTTGATGACCAGACGACCAGCGACCCAATGTGACCTGCCCTACTGGCTTCACACTCTACACTGATCCACAATTCAATGTTAGCACTGGTGGCTGGTCTCTGCCTGATGATGCATTTGATAATTCAGGTGTCTTCACTGTGACATCGTCACTGGATCCTACAGAACCACTGGCTGTTTCTAATCACCATGTCTCCTACACTGTTGTGGATGCAGCCGGCAATGACATTAATTGTGATTTCTACATTACTGTGCTTGGTAAGAAGTCATCATAGATCATTTTTGTAATGTTTTTCTACCAGAGGTTTTTGAGAGGTCAGGTATAAAGTTTTTTTTTTCAGAATTCCCTTCAGTGAATTTGCTAAAATTTCTTGTCTTTCAGACAATGAAGATCCCTACTTCAGCCAAAGATTACTTCAGCCAAAATGTGGTTCCAGCTTTTCAGTTTTGATTTTAATTGTCTGTTATTTTCCGCCGTTTTGCTATTTATTAACTTATTCACGGCCGTTTTGCAGATGTAGTCAAGCCTGTCTTTGACCCATGCCCTCCTGTACTCCAAGCAAGCTACCCAACTGACTTGAACCTCCCAACAGCCGTCGTCAGTTGGACTCCACCAAATGTAGCTGATAACAGTGGAGGAACTGTCACGGTCGATGCCAGTCATATGCCAGGGGAGGCATTCGACATTGGAGTAACAAGAATCACGATGAATGCAACTGATGAAAGTGGCAACATGGAATCATGCGTGTTCAATGTCACTGTTGTTGGTAAGGCCATATACATTTATTTATCATAATTGAATATTTTCCTAGAAGAGGTTTTTGAGGTCAGGTACCAAGAATTTTTTTCCCAGAATTCAGTGAATTTGCTTAAACCTCTTGTCTTTCAGACAACCAGGATCCCTACTTTGAGCCATGCCCAGCTTCGTTCACAGTTCAAACTGACCCACAGCAGAACACCGCTAATGTGTCATGGCCGCCTGTCATTCCGATGGACTACGTTGCAGTTCAGGAGTATAACTCCAACTACCAGCCTGGGCACTTATTCCCAATTGGTGACACAGACGTTGAGTACAACGTGACCGACACGTCAGGGAATAAAGGTTCCTGCTTTTTTGTGGTGACAGTTGAAGGTATGTCTTTCATTCTCAATTTCCAAAGATTCTCATTTCTATCGATGTGGCTTTAAGAATCTCTTACGAATAAGTTGTACAAAAACAGTGTTTGATTTGAATAATGAATAAGGATTGGAAAAAAAATTGAGCAGGCGGAGGTCACCCACATGCTTCTGTAAAAACTAATCGTTTTGTCCCGCATTTTATCCTACTGCTTGCTACTTCTTATAGTCTCACAGAATCCTGTGTTTCAGTTTAGTTAAACAGAATTGCTACCACCTTTAAATGCACACTCTGATTTTTTTCTTCTTCAAATATAGACATGGAGTCTCCTACTATTACTTGTCCCAGTGCAGCCATTGTTACTGACACAGACCCTCAACGGAGTGTCGCTAATGTGACATTTGTCACGACTGCTGCTGACAATAGTGGGGAGTGGACGGTGTCATGCACCCCAGCCTCGGCAACCAACTTCCAAGTTGGAGTGCAGAATGTCATGTGTATCGCCACTGATCCCTCGGACAACACCGAAACCTGCTCATTTGCAGTCTTGGTATCAGGTGGGTGATTAAACAAAATCAATCTCGCAGGGCGCTGCGATTTCCCTCATAAAAGACCTGACAGAAAGAGCTTTCGATCAATTCACTCCTGTGTCAAGTATTGTAGGAAAGGCTCATCCTGAAACGACTAATACTCATACTTGAGAAGAGGCTCGAGCTCGTTCCACTACAGGCCATATCCCGATCCGGAAGGTCATGCAGAGGCCATGTTCTCAAACTCACAGTGAACAAAGAAGACGAATAACTCATTTTTGTTGGTATGATTGTCAACAAAATGTTAACTTTCAAGCCCTTGTAAGCTGATTTTTAGACGATTTTGTTCAACATTCTTTTAACATCATACGAAATATGTCATCTGCTCTCAGACAATGAAGATCCGGTCTTCGATACCTGTCCATCTGATATCACACTCAATGAACCACTGGAGAGTTTCGTCAACTTCACTATCATGGTCAACTGGACACGACCCGGGGTGACCGACAACGTTGGCGTGGTTCGATTGGATGAAACTCATGAACCAGGCAGTGTCTTTGGCATTGGCAGTCACCTGGTTACGTACACAGCCTACGATGCTGCTGATAATATGGCTACTTGTCAGTTCAACGTCATTGTGAATGGTAGGCTCGTTTATTATGCTCCTCTACTCACATTTGTGAACATTTATGCTTTAGGTCTATGTACAGAGACTCAAAAGGCAGTAGTAAATTTTGGTGAAACATATCTGCAAAAATGAATGTAATGTTGAGCACCTGTCACCTTCGCATTATCTGATAGGGCTTGCACCTGACGAAAAAGATGTACCACCTAAATTTGAAGTACACCTCAGAATATCCAAATATTTGTACTTGCACATTTCTCATTGATACTTGGTAAATTACTGTTCTCCTGTCACTCCCACAGACGTGCAGCCGCCAGTTATTACCGGCTGTCCCGTGAACCTTCCTAGGTTCCCAACGGACCCCACTCGGGATACAGCCAGAGCATTCTGGGATGAACCTCAAGCTTCAGACAACTCGGGCAGCGTAACTCGGACCTCTAACTATGACGTTGGTGATGCGTTCCCTGTCGGAGATACCGTGGTGGTGTACACGGCAGAGGATGGCAGTGGTAACACCGTCAACTGCAGCTTTGTTGTCCAGGTCTATGGTAGGTAAAAAAAAACAACCATTAAACCTCGGTCTTAATAATATGTATTACATGACAATGAAAGGATTTCGCTGTTTGATTAGAGTTCTGTTTCGCTCTTAAATACATGTACAATGTTCATGTTATCTCATACCATGTTTTACCAAACACTGACCAATCACCAGCTATTCATGCAAGCTGTCAGTCGACATACGAAAATGTGTTTGACTTCCTTCATCAATAATTAGGACTACCTTCTAGAGTACCTACCACGTCTTATGAACGTTCTTGTACCACAGATAATGAGCCTCCTGCATTTACTGGCTGCCCCTTCCAAGGAGTCACCAGTGACACAGGTCTGCAGAGCGATCGTGGAGTAGCTTCGTGGTCAGAACCACAAGGCACAGATAACGTGGCGGTAGCCAATGTACAGTCAGACTACCGGCCAGGAGATAGCTTCCCATTGGGTGCAACTGTCGTCACATACACTGTGACTGATACCGCAGGATTGGTCGCCGAATGTGCATTTACGATTACCATTTCGGGTAGGTGTAAGCGCGCAGCTCTTTTTGCTGGCACCATTGGCGATGATGTAGTGATTTCCGGAGTGATTTTTTTTTTAAAAGATAATGCCACATTTGTTGTTTTCCCCAATAACAGATGGTGAGAATCCCAGCTTGACCAACTGCCCAGCGAGTTTCACTCTAACAGTGGAGTTAGCCACAGACACAGCCGTTGCAGATTGGACCCCGCCGACTGCCTCGGACAACTCCGGCACAGTGACCCTGTCTACGACCTTTGAACCCGGCCAGTCACTTTTGCCTGGTGAATACAGCGTGACGTACACCGCAACCGATCCGGCAGGCCGGACAGCAACATGTCCTGTCTTCACTATCACTGTGGAACCAAGTAAGATATTTTGCTCGTGCCGACCGGATCGAGTCCTGCCACTCGTTTTGACGAATACTAATGACACATGATTTTCACATACTAATGTCTGTATGACACGTTCACTGTGGCTCCATATGATGCTGATCGAGCGTGATGCAGAACGGGCTAGAGAGTAGAATGTAAGATGGTTGAAATGGTTGAAAGGAATCAGTCTGATTTAATATAGGCCCTGGTGAATCTTAATTTGTTTTACGATGCGATGTTCTTCCATTGATTCTGCTTGCTTCCAGATCACAATGAATGTTCTCTGCCAGAAGTCATGGGGGAATGTTCATCTCGAGGATTGACTTGTGTCAATCAGCTGGAAGGTTACACATGCGACTGTCCCACCGGCTTTTTCAAGGCTGGAAACTCAGATACCTGCCTGCGTACGTATGATGATTTCTCGTTCAAAACCCCTGAAAATAATTCTAGAGAAAGTGGTCCGACAACTTTGGCCCACAAGGGTATAGACCAGTATAAAATAAATTACTACCGAGGCAAATGATAAATAGGCCTACCCTCTGTACTAGCAATCAGAACAAACACCCCAAAGTCAAATCCCGAAGCCCATTGCCAAGTTGGAAAATGAGCCTTCCACTTTACTGCAAGATTCAGCACCTTTGGGGTCAAATGTCATAATGATTTCTCGAAAAATACAACCTCAGTGTTCAGTTCTAGTAGTCTGGAACCCTCCTCGAGTTTTTCACAAACACTGAAAATGAAGGCCCACAAACCTCTCTACCATGACAAGTGAAGACGTCACAAACATTATTCAGTCAGCATAGGCATTTTAGGTCATTTTACACGAACTTAATTAAGGCCGTGAAACAAAAACATAAGACATTGCAGAGGTATGATGAAGCCGCCCCTGATTGTTTCGAAAAAAAAATTGGCCAAGCAATCCATGTGCAAAACAGAAAACGGAGTGTTAAAACCCCAAATCTACAAAACTTGAACTGCATTTATAATTATAATAACCTAAAAAAACATACAAAGTCCTGATTTTTTTAACAAACAGAAGGAAGAATGTTTCGTTTTACTTTCGTCATTGTGGAGATCAGCAACAGCCCAGCTGTATTCACTAACGACCTCACTGATCCCACCTCAGTTGCGTTTCTTTCACATCAGAGACGCCTTGAGAACTTGGTAAGAGACTTAAGAATTAAGAGTCCACTTTGGATAATGGCCGTGGACATTTGTTGCCTCGATTTGGTCTAATTGGTTCAACATCTTAGAATTTGTTAAGGTCACAATTAACGGCTAAGTTGGAATGTGCTCCGAATTACCGATAATTGCCCAGTTGCTCACATCAAGTTAAATAGTAATTGAAAGTAGAATGACATCAGTCTTTTCTCTAAATGTTTCGTTTCTGTGTTGTTGCAGTTCAGTATTGCCTTCGGCAATCTATCCGAGTTCGGCCGCATCATTGTCTTGTACTTCTTCAGTGGTAGCATAGGTGTGGAAGCATTGATTTCAGTCAACGGGAACTCCACGGCCAACCAAACGGACGTGGAGAATTCCATTGATGCCGCCATCTCAGCAGATGATTTATTCTTAAATTCAGAATATAAGGTCACCCCCAGCGCCACTACCTTTTTGGAAGGTACGTGGTAGGCTTATAAGTATAGCTGTTTTAGGCCATAGTCTTCAAAGATGACTTGCTATAATAGTTAGGATGATACTACGGACCTACAATGGATCGGGTATTAAACTGTGTGTATATACGTTACTGACTGAATGAGATGCATAAATAATTAGCATTGCAATGTTAATCAGACTCTACCAAGAAATTAGCGTACGTAATTGTTTAGATTCTTTAAACATGTACAAACCGTCACCGAACAGCTTTAATGAAAAAGCTCCCTTTGGGGGAAGGCAAGTCAACAAATTAAACTCTATTACTTGTAAAAGGACTTGAAACTTTTAAATGTAAGTTGCGATTGAACGATTATAAGTAACAACTTTCAGTATGTGTGCATAACGGTTATCGGTGAGTTTAATGATATCCTTATGATAGTGCTGGATGATGACCGTTGACTTAAGTGGCGCATCTATTCCTTTGTGTTCCATAAAAAAAATATATATATCTTCTTGTTGGCATTTTTAAGGGTGGTTGGTGCCCTTTTGGCTTTTATGCAAATCCGAATTTCCACACTCGTGAGCAAAACTGTGATATCATTCAGGGCGGAAACTTCAATTTCACATCTGTTTCAGCATAATAGTCATCAGAATATTTACGGGCTTGCCTTGGTTATTTTTCCTGTCAGTGGTTCATTGTCGTTTCAGCATGACAGCAAATCAATGAGAAAACAGTATACACAAAACGATTTCGGATTTGAGTTTACAATTTGAAGAGAAAAAATCCTAATAAGAAGGGTGTGTTCCTGAAGTGACACAAGGGCGGATCCAGGGGGGGGGGCCAAAGGGGGCCATGGCCCCCCCCCCCCCCCCCAAAACGAAACCAATTTTTTTTTTTTTTATGTGACACCGCAATAAAGGCAGGCAATGAGTACACCACCATCTTTTCCTCAAAAAAACATTGGTTAAAGTGGTCAGAAATTGCCTCAGATCGCACCACAGAGCATCTAGAATCCAAAAAATTTTCGGGGCCCTTAAGCGGGCCCCGAAACCCACGCCGTAATTTTTTTTTACCCACTTTTTGGGGGGACCAAAATTTTTTTTGGCCCCCTCCAAAATTGTGTTCTGGATCCGCCCTTGAAGTGACAGCACAGCAACAGCGCCCTCAGTTGTCAGGAAAAGCATGGAACATTTCAAACGTTTAAAAGGTGCACTAAAACGTTTACCCAAATGGGTTGTTCTACAGTTTCAACACATTTCAGAGGACTAGATATTTGCTACAATTAAGTTCCAGTGTACAATTCATTTCATAGACACTTTAAAAAAAAAAAATGGCATCTTCGAATCAGACGCTTGATGGCGCTATGCATTATGAATTCTTTGTTTCTTTCATTTCGACAGAAGTTTGCCTGGATGGGTTCTGTGACAATGGAGGAACATGCCAACCCAATGCTTCCAGCTACCTCAGCTCCTGCGTGTTCGTATAACCTGGTTTATTGCACTTAAGTTGACCTCTTTTCTGGCTTTCAAACATGTGAATGGCACAATACATAATTAACTTAGATTACCCTCCATCAATCAATCCTATAGTGGAAACAAAAAGATGTTGGAGTGTAGTATTTATTTGTTAAGAAGTAGGAAATATTGAGTGTTTTTTTTTTTTAGAGCATTGGCAAATAAACATGGGACAGGTTGTAGCCAATTCCATCACAAGGCAAATCACAATTATGATCCAAAAGTCAAATCCCAGTCAAATCCACGTCTTGTCACAAGTCAAATCACAAGTCAAATTACAAATCAAATCAAATCACAAGTTTAATCATTAGTCGAATTGCAAGTAGATCCACAAGTCTGATTGGAAGTCAAATTCCATGTCCAATCACAACTAAGGTCATAATTTACAATTAGGGATTAACTGGACCTACAAATGCCCCGGTCCACAGTGACACTTGATTTTAGACTTTTGATGACTTGTCAGAATTATAATACGATTTCATGGTAGCAAACACAAACGAAATATACTATGTTGGGTCCTCCATGGAACGTTTTGCTGCAAAGGATGTTAATTCTCAGTCTAACTTCTAAGTTCCTTATTTGTATTTGTATTTTTAGATGTTCACGCAGCGACTGCAGCGTATTGACTTAACGTGCCATTCTGTGAATACATTTTATAACATAATAATGATGGTTTCATCTTTCAGGTGTCCTGCAGGTTTCAGTGGAGACAGATGTGAGACAGTGAACGGTACGGGTAACCTTACTACCTTACTACCTTGTTACTAAAAAAAAGGCTTAAAACCCCTTTATCATTTAAATTTTGATATTTTTTTCTCATAAATAACGCCACCACGATTGTGTTAAAAAGTGGCCTTTAAAAATAAATGTGGCCTTTAAAAAAAAGAGTCACATTTTGGGAGCAATGACTGCATAAACTTTTTTTCTGAAGCCGAAAACTATTAGTTAAGTCGGAAGATAGGGTTCCCATGCACCCCCTGGATATATATTTTTTTACCTGCTTTTTGTAATCCTTAGGGTGTCTTATGAATGAATTTTGATGTTCCCAAGATCAAATATTGTCCCTTGGGGTTCATTTGGCGGCCATCTTGGCGGCCACCTTGGATTTCGAAAAAAATCGGTTATTGACATAACTTTTGAGTCAGGCATCATAGGAAGACCAATGAACACATTTTTTGGAGTAATTTGGGTTTGAGGAATCGATTGAAGGCTTTATTTTTTATAATTTGGCGGCCATCTTGGATTTTGACCAAAATCGGCTATTTGACGTCATTTTTGAACTAGGATCATGGGTAAGTAAATGAACATGTTTTGGGGGGTAATTTGGGTTTGAGGAATCAATTGAAAGTATTATTTTCATAATTGGGCAGCCATCTTGGTAGTCATCTTTGATTCCGACGAAAATCGGTTATTTGACGTAACCTTTGAAATAGGCATCACAGGAAGACAAGTGAACACGTTTTCGGGGGTAATTTGGGCATGACATATCGAATGAATAAACATGTATTTTTTTAATAGTTGAAACAAGTTAAAAAAAACCTTAAAAATTATAATTTGCACTAAGAATCTTGCAAAACACTAATCTACATGTATTCCAAAGTCCTAATAATGTTCCAGGGGTTAAAGGGTTAGGATGTGCTGGGGTGGAATGGAGAAAATAGAGCTGTTTCATTTCCATGGAAGTTTCCCATTGTAAAGCACAGCGTCTCACCATTAGCCTCTCACCAAATCCTACTGTCTGGCTTCTCGTGCCAACCCTGTTTCTGCTGAATGACAGATAGTGTCAGCGAGTCCATGGTACTATTATACAAGGTTGCTCCGGGTAGGTGGAACTCATTAGAATTGGTTATCTGTCCACCTAGGTGAAGGACAACTCTGATCACAAACCCTAAACAAAGTTTCATAATCAATCTCTTTATGCTCTTCTAATATTGATTCTCCGCTTCCACAACAGTTTTCTGCTGTAAGTCAATGAGTGAAGGATGGGCCACATCACCATACTGGCATGATTATCCCCCACCGCGATATATAAATATGCTATGATTGTTAGTGAACTATCACCATTTCCAGCTAATACTAAAGATTAAGCCTACACCTTAATTTGTCTTTCATGATGCCTAGTTCAAAAGTTATGTCAAATGACCAATTTTCGTCGAAATCCAAGATGACCACCAAGATGGCCGCCCAATTATAAAAATAATGCTTTCAATCGATTCCGCACACCCAAATTACCCCGCAAAACATGTTCATTTGTCTTCCTATGATGCCTGGCTCCAAAATTATGTCAATAACTGATTTTTGTCAAAATCCAAGATGGCCGCCAAGATGGCCGCCAAATGAACCCCATGTGACAATATTTGATCTCGGGAACATCAAAATTCGTTATCTAGACACCCTAAAGATTACAAAAAAGTATATCCAGGGGGTGCATGGGAACCCTATCTTCCGACTAGACAACTCCTTTCGTTCAAACTCATTTAAACAATTATTCGAAAACATGTGGTGAACGTTTCTATGGTAGTTATCTCGGCCGGCTGTTACTATTCCGGTATTTAGTCATGCAACCTCTAATAATGTGTCGCGATTGGTTCACAGATACCAGCCTCTCATCTGCAGCTATTGTGGCCATTATCGCGAGTATCCTGGGTCTTCTCTTTATCGTTATTCCTACCGGTATGCTCGTGTTTCTGACGATGACGAAAAGAGCAAGGCTGGCTTGGTGGAATAGGCAACAGAGCGCCACCACGCGCCCATCTGAGCGGCGCAAGGCAATGTACGAGTCCCCACACCCTAGGATATACCTGGTGAGAGCCTATAGCTGCCGTTTTTCTTTTCTGCAATCTTGTTGGGTTATTTTACCGTACAACTACTCTTGGTCCTAGACTGGATCTCATTTCCATAATGGACCTCTATCAAGCTGCCACCATTTTAGTAATGTTCCCTGTATCCAATAACCTTATGGTAACGTGCGTAGCCAATCGGCTTCCCTAGCCCTGACAGGTCTTATGACGTCAGCACCTGCGGTTGAATGCCACAGCTCTGGTGATGCTTGCAGTTGAGCCCTTCTACACCTCAGTGGTAGTGTGGATTGATTTGGTGTTGATTTGGGGTGGGGTGACCTAGTGGATTGGGTGGATCACGGGTGGATTTAATGTGGATCACAATCAACAATAAATGAGGCGTAGGAGATTTGTTTGACTTCCTTGGCCCCACCTGATCAATTGTGAGTTTTATTCTCATTAGCTCTGCCTTTTATAGGCCAACATCCCTATAGTCTTGTACACACGTACTTAACTCTATACAAGAGGATTTGACCAATCAGATATCAGTAGGTGACTAAGGACATGCCCACTCAACAGTGCTATTGGCTCATACAGTTGAGACCAGGCAGACTGTCACAGACTTTGTCACAGTATTGTGAATGACAACGTTTTGTGCAAAAAGGAACCAGACTATTTTTCCTTCCAGCTTCGCTTTGGTAACGTTTATTTGAATGGAAAAATCAAAATGGCCGCAACAAGATTCCCTGCAAACTAGATGAACCAAATCGTGTCCCGGGTACTTCGGCAGCACTACGCAGGATTCGCTTGAATACAGCTTAAAAGCCCTTTTGAGGATTATTGAATTGGAATTTATTTCAGAACAATCGGAACTAGTAAGAATTTTGTTCGATCTAAAGTGGAGAGTAAAAACACAATTTTACGCTGTAGTGCGGCGTTTTTGTTGGTGTTTGATTTGTTACGCTTTTTGTGCCACTCCTAGATATCCCACGTTAAATATTAAAAATTAATTGGGTCTTACTTGCGTCTCATATTTTGTGCATTGTTTGTGTGCACATAATGTGCATTATTACAGAACAAAGGCTTCAGACCGTCCTTGTCGGAATTTACCATCCCTTACATGGCACGGTCCGGGGAGGCGGACATTCCGGTAAGTGAGAGATCCAATTACATATTCAGCAGATAGAAGATTTGAAAACAGTGGCCTCAAGGACGTTAATACATTGAGGATGAGGTCAGGATATTTCCCTGACACATTTCGGTGACCGGAATTGAGCCGTTGGATCACACACCATTCCCACCTCTGCATGGTATCTAAAAACAGACTGATTGACATGAACCAACCAGTGGTTGAAACAATATGTGTCCAACCAATCGGATTGGTTGGACAGTGACATTTTAACCAATATTGGTTATTTAAACCAATGTGTTTTTATAGCGGACAGGCAGTACAGTCACTGTGTGGACCTCCGAGCAAAACATGTCCACACAGTGCAGGTCGTGCATACGTTGTGTGGACTTGCCCACGTCGACACAAGGTTCCCCTCTTTGAAAAAAAAAAATATTTTAGAGACATTAATTTGTGGGCTTTATCCGTTGTAAAATGAAGAGGAGCTCTCAAGGAAATCATGATCACACATTTGAGTTGAAAGAGTGTTCATAGTGCGAGTACAAAGACGTTTTGCCCGATTTTTCTTAACTTAACTACACGAAGAGAAGGAATATCGACTTTAGGTGTGTAAGGTGAACGTGTGCTCTTACGAGAACTGCCTTATGGGGTACTCACACAAAGGGAACAGTGGTACCCCATTATGCATCACAAGTGCGTGTGTTTGTGATTACGTAAACACCAGCACTCGTGGACCTAGGACAAAAGGGTACAATGCGTCCATGATCGTGTACAAAACCAATGAGAGCTGTTGCTTAAAAGTTAAATACAAACAAAGGAATGAGAATTACGGAGAAATGGGGCTCCACATTCGCCGGTGTTCATGAAGATGTGTTTGTTTATGGTGTAAATCGAGGACACACACGTGCAACATCATCGGTGAAGAAAGGACAGGAACCAAATCGAGGACGACCTCGATTAGAAAACGTGTACAAAACCAATGAGAGCTGTTGCGAATAAGTTCAAATACAAACAAAGGAAAAGGGAGAAAGAACAAAAGAAGATCCTCGATTTACACCTGTATGTGTGCAAAGGGTGCTCGGCCGCTCCTGGACCGTGACTCGTCCCAATTAAAACATGTACGTACATTGAGTTAGCATAATCTTGATCTTGAAATCATTTATTTTGTCCATTGTCTCTTGCAGCTTCGCCAGATGATGTCAAGAGACGAAAGCCTTTATTACTAAGCTAACAATTTTTATTGGCGTGAACTGAGGAAAAAATCCCAACTTTCTCAAATATAAGTACAGTATACATTGTTTGGGTTGTTATTCACTCGAACTCAGGACATTTCCAATGGCAATGGTAACCTCATTTTTGACCTCCACTCTCATTAATGAGTTCAAACTTTGACCAAGCTGCATTTGGTTCAAACCTTTGATGTAGAAGCACAAAGCATTGTCCTCGAGCGTGTAGAAATTCACGACTGCGTGTGTAGGTTGGGGCAGGGTATATATAATTTTTTTTTATTGTTATGAGATATTTATGTATTGTTGTGACAATTTCGTGGGAGATTTTTTGAATACATGTTAATTTTGTTTTATTGTATCTTGAATATATATTTGTATAATGGTATAAAGCTGCAACGCGGCCAGTGCAACTAATTATTCCTGCTTTGCTCTTGACAGTAATGTATCAACATGCTTTGCCGCCTCGCGAACCACAAAAGATTTAGAAGAGAACAAGGTCGCTGGGTCCGAAACACTTGGCCTACGGTCGGATATATTAACACACGAGTCTACGGGGAGTGGCTGCAGCCGCTAGCCAGTGGCTTTCATAGGTGCGCGTGTTATTCCCGGCCGTAGGCAAGTGATTCGCATACGGCCTTAGAAATCACCAACGCACTTACTAGCTAGCAATTTTTATATACAGCCTGTCTAAAAAAAAAATGGTACAATCGAAATTTTTTTTTTTTTTCATTATTAAATCTCAACATAAGTAAGTCGTTTTGAGCATCACATTAAAGGAAAAAGACCAGGCTTGCAATACTTTTCGTTTCATCTCATTTGCTTTTGTCAATCCAGAGATAACTCCAGTTTACTGCGGAACACAAAAATCGAGTTTGTTTCTTTTGCCAAGTTGCAATCTTTTGTGAGCTTTAAGACAGCATGGCACAGTACTCGAAACAACTCTGCCCATGCATAAAAGTGGCACAAAATCGATTTTGGTGTATCGCACTAAATTGATTATATCTCTGAATTGACAAAAGCAAATTAGATCAAACAAACACTATTGGAAAGCCCGGTCTTTGTTCTTTAATATTATGCCAAGTAAGAATGACTTATTATGAAATTTCGTTTTTAACACTTTTTTTTCTGATTGTACCATTTTTTTTAAGACAGGCTGTATATACATATATATTTTTGGTTGGGACCAAAAAGATACATTATAAATAAAATTACGTAAAACTGGCCAAAAGATTCAGTCAAAATGTGCCAAAAGAAGTATCATTTTCTGCTTTGTAAATTAAAAACTACGTACGATGTCATACTGAAATAAAACATTTTAAGCATTGGTATTGCCATCAACTGTAATATTAATTGATGTAAAAGCGTGTCCCTAAATTTTGACAAGGGATGTTTTTAAAGCTTCATTGCGCCATTTTGGTCCTATATTAGACTGGAACACCGCCGCTAAATTAAAGGGGATAACAAAAGATCCTTTCAGTCCTCCAGTGTTGGGTCTTTTGTTGAAAACAGTCCTCGATCGTACGGTTATGTGCTTAGTCTATGGGAAAGTATTTTATTACAGACGCAAAGGGAAGCACAAAGCATTGTCCTCGAGCGTGTAGAAATTCACGACTGTGTGTGTAGTTGGGGCAGAGTATATATGTACATATTTTTAGTGTTATGAGATATTTATGTATTGTAGTGACAATTTCGTGGGAGATTTTTTGAATACATGTTAATTTTGTTTTATGGTATCTTGAATATAAATTTGTATAATGGTATTTTTTTATGCTTAAATCTTTATAACATTAATATTAATGGTTAGGCATTTTAATCCTAGGACAGTCGCTATACTGGGTGTATCAAAAAAGGTAATCCAAAATTAATCGCTATAGAAAAGCTAGAAAAATGTTGAAACTGAAAGTGGTTTCATCTTATATGTTACATCATTAGCTTTTAATTGATACCATAATTACACCTCTTTTTAATCACAGATGACTGAACACCATTGCTTGCAACACAAATGCCCAAAAGCCTCTTTTACAAGTGTAACGATACGGGTTTTTGGATTTCAATAATGAATCATTCATAAGGAGCATGAATAATGCGATGACCATTTATGGCTGTTAATTTCAGTGTACTTACCCCGCGAATGTAACGGTCCTAGTAGTGAATAAGTTCAGACATAATTATGTTCGTCGATATTCATATCAAAGTCAATACTTCTTCTGAGCCATTTTTTGCACGACGAGGGGTTGTAGTCATTGCTATCCGCTCCGTTCACAAGTACCCCCTCACCGGCAAAGAAAGTACAGTTGGGGATGACCGAACGACGCCATCCAGGGCCAAGTTCGGGCAAGGACCATTAGTCGACTAGTGGTTGATCTGTGACGTACCTTACGCCTGCGCCCTAATAGCAAAGTGCGAACGTCTCTAGTCGAACGCTGGTCAATGTGTCATTGCAAAACGTCTGGATCCTGGCTCCCTGCTGTACGTTATGAACGCGCGCGGCTATGGTTACCAGCGAAGCAACCAACCCCAGTAGGCTGGTTCCAAATAGTCGACTAGCGTAGTCAACCATCGTCGACTAGACAGAGTTCGGGCAAGCGTTAGTCGACCAATGGTTAACTATAGTCCTTGCGCGAACTTGCCCTTGCCTGACTGCAATATTTTGCCGCGCCGCGAAGCGCGACCACTGCGTGTAGTACAAATCCCGTGGTGTACGTGCATCACACACAAGAAACGGTGCGCGCGCGTCAACCAGCGAAATGTATATATGTGTCCCGCCCATGGGACGTCGTTGCTAGGTAAAATGGCGCCCTCTTTTGTTGGCGCACGGTAACGCTCACATGGTTCTGGCCTCTTGTGAGCCGTGAAACTCAGCAGAACGAGCCAAACCTCACCTAAAAAATCGCCCACTTTTCTCTCATTCTTGGGGTAAGTTTGAGTCCGATCAAATATTGAGTTGATATTGTGAGGGACATAGAAGAGGTTGATTGATATGATTATTGTCAAACTGATTGATTCTTAAAGTTTTTAGGGTGTTACTAGTTTTGTATGAAAGTCCGTTTTCGTATACATACACTGCACGATGCGTTATATACTGGCGACATTGAGTTTAGCATTGTGTACGTAGTGTGCGTATGCACGACACAACGTTGAATCTCGCTTTGTTTAGAATAGTTGTTCATATATGTTGCATTGTTAACGGGTGCACGGGAGGATATTTCCTTAAATATATTCCGTATATGCTATTGTATTGTTGTGTATTTTATTCTATAGCTGAGACTTTGCTGAGACTGTTGAGCCTCAAGCTTTGTCATCTCAAGTGCAGATTTGCAAATGTAACCACTGCCCCCCCCCCCCACCCGGTGCCACCGCCCCTGCGATCACTCAAAATATACTTTTTGTAAAATCCCCGAGATTTCCCTAGACAACGGACAAGTATTATGCTTGGGAAAACCCCCGAAATGGTTACCGTGAAGCGGCGAGCGAACGCACGAAGCGTGGGCTGGGATGGTTCTCGATTCACAAATCCTCAGTGCTATGACTTTGAATGTTAGTAGCATTGGGAAGGCGGGAACTAGACTAAGCCGTAATAGAATAAAAAAAATAAAAAAAAGTTCAGCAGCGCGTGCATACGCGCGGCCTTACCTGGAGGGTCCATAGATGCGCGTCCATCACTACCTGCTCTCTCACCCTAGTATATTTATTGGATCATTTGCATGTGCAAGATTTTTGAACACCTATGCAAATGAGGAATAGCGTTTGTTTTTGTATGCGGTGTCTGGGGTAAAAACAGTGTCAATTCGTCGCAGCGTGAGCGTGGCGCACGTACGTGATAATTATCTCGTGCGCAAGAGATATTATGTCGCGCGCACGAGATAATTATGTCGTGCGCACGAGATAAAAAAATTATTTTGGATGTCCCTTTAGGGGCTCCGTACAGACCGCATTTTCCCCCACAAATTTGATGTTGTGGTCACGTCGACGCCAACTTTCAGCAAACAGTTCACTTCTGCACTGCATGAGTCTCTCTTGGAAATGTGATTAGGCCTAAAGTCGAAAACCTTTGTCACAAGGTCCTTAAGACTTTAGGAATTACCTTGTGTGTAGTTGATGTGAACGTGGTGACCATTACATGTTTAATATGGGCAAACTTGCCCATTGCTGTCCGTTAGTATGACGTCACAGGACACATGGATTGGTCTTTAGCACGGGTAGTAGCTCATTTTTTTAAATATAATTTCAAGTTACGAAATTATTATTTAAAAAACGTTACCAACATTTTCTCTTTGAAATGTTTCTAACGATATAAATATATTGTTATCGAAAGGATACCATTATTGCTTTAATCTATATCAATCATACAATACGTACAGACTTAAACCTTCCAGTGTTTTCCCGAAATATATCTCATCTACGTAAACTAATGATAATTTAATTAACCTAAATGAAACAACCGTGTTGGAAGGTTTATTGAGTATTTCAGCATTTCTGAGTTCTTATAGGCTAAATAAAAAACAGGTGTATAAAATTGACTTTTCTCAAAACAACGCAAAAATTGCTGTGGAGACGAGTGGAGCATGAATCAATATTCAAACATTGATATTTTAGCAGATTTAGTCAAAAATCATCCTTTTTTGGGCGAGGAAATATTTAAAAATGAAAAAGAATTTTGACCGTTTTCGTCCGAAATTTTCCACCAAATTTTCTTTTCCAAGGCACGTCTGTTCCCAAATCGAATTGAAATGTGTTCACGGTAACCTTAGGCCTTTTTCCTGCAAGTTTCAAGGAATTTCATTTTTTGGCCTCAATTGAAAAAAACAAGGGGTTAGCCTTACTTTTTTAACAAAATTTGGCCAAAAATTGACTTTTCTCAAAACAACGCAAAAATTGCTGTGGAGACGAGTGGAGCATGAATCAATATTCAAACATTGATATTTTAGCAGATTTAGTCAAAAATCATCCTTTTTTTGGGCGAGGAAATACCTAAAAATTAAAAAAGAATTTTGACCGTTTTCGTCCGAAATTTTCCACCAAATTTTCTTTTCCAAGGCACATCTGTTCTCAAATCGAATTGAAATGTGTTCACGGTAACCTTAGGCATTTTTCCTGCAAGTTTCAAGGAATTTCATTTTTTGGCCAAAATTGAAAAAAAACAAGGGGTTAGGCTTACATTTTTATCAAAATTTGGCCAAAATTTGACTTTTCTCAAAACAACGCCAAAATTGCTACGGAGACGAGTGGAGCATGAATTAATATTCAAACATTGATATTTTAGCAGATTTAGTCAAAATCATCCGTTTTTTGGGCGAAGAAATACCTAAAAAAAAAAAAGAATTTGGACCGTTTTTGTCCGAATTTTTCCACCAAATTTTCTTTTCCAAGGCACATCTGTTCCCAAATCGCAATGGAATGTGTTCAGGGTTACCTTAGGAATCTTTCCAGCAAGTTTCAAGGAATTTCATTTTTTGGCCAAAATTGAAACAAAAAACCAAGCGGTTAGCCTTACATTTTTATCAAAATTTGGCCAAAAATTGACTTTTCTCAAAACAACGCAAAAATTGCTGTGGAGACGAGTGGAGCATGAATCAATATTCAAACATTGATATTTTAGCAGATTTAGTTAAAAATCATCCTTTTTTGGGCGAGGAAATATTTAAAAATGAAAAAGAATTTTGACCGTTTTCGTCCGAAATTTTCCACCACATTTTCTTTTCCAAGGCACATC